TTTACTAAGATCCAATTCATTCGGTGGTCTATATGATTGTATAAACTTCTTTTCTTTAATATTTCGTAAAACTCTTTCTATTTCTAATAATTTATTGTCTTGGTTATTAGAATCAGACTGTTGTATATTTTCCTCTATTCTTAGAACAGCTTCTTTTATTTCACTAACTATTGTTAGTATTTGTTGTACATTTCCTACGTCAGGACTTTTAGACATATAATCCTAATTCTTTTCCAATTTGATTTACAAGTAAAATTACTTTGCTTAAATGTTCCATTAATGGTTCAATTTTTAGAATTTTCTCATCTAATTTTATTAAAGTTTCTTCTAACCTATTTACGTTTATTCTATTAATATTTTCAATAATTTTGTCAGCTTTTGCTGCGATATCAAGAATTTCAAATAGTAAAGTATCAAGAAATTTGATATTTTTTCTCGTTTTTTCAAGTCTTTCAAGAATTAATTCTTGATTATTTTGGATTTTTTCAATATTTTCCCAAAGAGGAGTATTATTTATTCTATTCATTTCTCAAATATTTGAAATTTGAGCATTTTTAGCTTATTTTTGATGATTTTTCTTTAAAAATAATATTAAGGGTATAGATGTCTTTTACCTATCAAGAATGGCAAGATTTTATTTTTATTAAAAATAGGGCTAGATTTCATTTTTGTTTTTGGTTAAGGGCAATAACACTTTATTAAATACTATTAGCTAGTAATTATATATCCCTCTCTATATATTAATTCAAAACGTGTTGAGCCTATGTGGCGGATTCTCATGCTTCGGATGTTGACATGGCAAAAATCTATGCTTCGTGATGTTGTTTTATTATTATTTTTTGCTTTGGAGTTAGGTTTGGTATTAGACATAAATAACTTTACACATATATTCATTTACTCAACACCCATGTTGTACATGGGTATTAGTACTAGTATCACTCTTATATATATAAGAAGATATAAAAGCAACCATATGGCGACAAGTGGCCAACTCGTTGCTTGACAAATGTCCATTTTGTGGTCAATTACTTAAATGACCATTTTTTAAAGAAAGTCTAGCACAATTTTGGGAGGAAAATAGTGTAAACATGTCCCTACCATATTTTGGTGTTCTGACTGAAGTGCCCCTTTGTATTCAGCTTTTGAGGTGTGCAGGAGTAATTTTACGTCCCTCTTTGCTGCAGCAGTGGGTATACTTTTGCGCTATTTGCTCCCCAAAAATCCAGGGTCACGTGCGTATTTTCTCTTTTGTGCCTCAAATGTCTATGTACGAATTGGATTTCCCTAGTTTTTTTTTTTTTTTACAAGAGAAGGAGGCTAACGCTAGCCTAAGTTAAAACTGGATGGGGATAAGCTCGTGCCCGGCGGAGGGCTATCCAATCTGTGCAAACCCCCCAGACTCCTAGCCGCCAGCGACGCAAGATAGTCCGCCACGAAGTTGGCTTCTCGATAAATATGACAAAGTTGAACTACCCACAGGTAGTTTAAAAGCTCTCGTAGACTCCGTAAGATGCTACCATGGCCGCTCATCTTGAACCATGTTCAGAATAGACTTGTTATCAACTTCGACTCGAATCTTACGTGCCCCAGTATCCCAAGCCAGATGGAGACCTTGGAAGAGGCCCCACAACTCGGTTCACAAATCCGCTCACCCATTTCCCATGATCATCACGAATAACTCCCTCTGCACTAGCCATCCCCGTAGCCGGAACAAAACTTTCATCGGTGTTTACTTTCAGCTCGTCCGCCACCGGGCATGCCCATGAAATCCACCTCATCTCTCGAAGACCAGTCACCCCAATCTTGCGGCAACTAGCAATGTTGTCCCGTACCGTCTCCGCGTAGCTTAATACCTCGCCGGCCCGTTGCGAGGTCGGGATAACAGTACCTTGGAAAATTTGTAAATTCCTCCACCGCCAAATACGCCACGCCGTGAGCTCGAATAGACAATCCCAGTCCTCACGCATCCTGCTAAGCTCGCCCAAGAGGTTACCCGATAACCATCCGTGGAGTTCCTGGGAAAAGAAGGCACGACGGCGGTCGCTTGGGATCAACTACCGCCATGTATCAGCCGCCGCCGGGCAATCATGCAGGACATGCAAAGTCGACTCGTCCGCCGCCTGACAAAGTTGACCTTTCATTGTATTCTCTCTCTCTCTCTCTCTCTCTCACTCTCTCTTCCTTTCCCTAGAATTCTCGCACACGCTAAGACGGAGCAGGTAAATACCTCTTGTATTCACAAACCCAATTATCTCACCATCCACCATTCTCATTTCCTCTCACACCGAACTCTACCCGTAGCAATTGTTGCGCCGTCCAAGAGGCCATAGCGTATATTCATTGAGATGGTGAATCTAACTCTCGGTTGCTGTCATTTTTTTTCGGCAAATTCGAGCTACTGCCAGACCGTTTCTGCCGATTTCCATGGTGTTAGTGGCGGGGTTTAAAGTCTCGCTCTTCGTCTTGACTTTATCCCCACACGATGATATTCAACCGACTTATCCAACGTCAGAGGTGATTTTTGTATTATGAGCATTATTTTTTATGAGGATTTTATATAAATTTAATTGTTATATTAAGAATTATATAAAAGTCTTAGAAAGTCCTAAAAAGTTTATATTGAAAGAGTTTCCATAACAATCTCACAAAATTCACAAAAATAATTAAAAGTTACCTAAAGTCAACATAAGTCATCTATTTTAAAAAGTCTTAAAAAGTCTATATAAGAGTCCTAATCAAATACATTATAAAAAAGACAATTATATAAATTTATAAATTATTTTATCAATCTTATTTAGCTACACTATATTGAAAATAATAGGAAACAAAATATTAATCCAAAAAAAAAAATCAAATCAAAAACAAAACCATAACTATATCAAACATACCGCCATTCATTGGAAAAACAGAGAAAAATAGATGGGACTCCTCTCAGCGGCAGCCGCCGTCGCCAGATCTAAACTCTCCGCCCTCTCTTCAAGGATCGTCTCATCCGGTGCTACTCCGGCCCGCTTCTTGAAGCCCAACAACAAGCGCATGCTCATGGTGGAGCGCGTACACAAAGAAACCCGCGACTACTCTGTAATTTCGACCGAAAACGACTCGCTTAAGATGGTACGAAACAATCTCCCCAACTTATCTTTCCTCAGAACTGTAAACCACGAAACAGCCGATTATCATATTGCAGACAGCTGCAACACATGGATTTTGTTGTGCTGTGAAAGAGGAGATCCTCAAGTTTCATGGCAGTTTTTGTGGGACCCCACGACAGCCGAAACCAAACCTATTCCTCCTTCTTTGGTGGCGCCGGGCCCGCTCCCTGATCCCCTGAATAGTTGGATCCACCGTGCAAACGGGTACGGCCAGGTTATCGATCATCAGATTCGTTACGGCCTCGGGTTTGATCCCGTATCCGGAGACTATAAGGTTGTCCGAACTCACGTGCTGGACTATGATACTAGAAAGGAAGCTCGTGCCGAGGTTTTTTCGTTCCGAACCGGTTATTGGAAGAGAATTCAGCAGCCATTTTTTCCTCGCAGGCAATACTATCGCAATGCTTCTGTGCACATAAATGGAGCTCGCTATTTCCTTGCCCGGGAGGATCATGGTTATGTTGTAGAATCGTTTGACTTTGTTAACGACAGGTATTTTCCTTATCTTAACTTTATCCCCGTGAGCGATATCGCGGACTATATTAGTACTAATGTCGTTCTTGCCGAGTTCCACGGGTCGCTCGCGTGCGTTCTTTTCGATTTCAAGCACAAGGACACCCTTGGTTGGAAGCCTTCTTTTGAGATTTGGGTGTGGAATGGGAGTAGATGGTCTCACGAGTCGACTCATTACCCGACTCCTCCAGGTATTTTTCCTCTCTATAGCGTTGTGGGCCTCTACGAGAATGATAAAGTGTTGCTTTGGAATACGCACGTCGACTTACTGTATTACAATTGTGTGACGCGCGACATGGAATATCTTGATATTGGCATCCATGACAACGATTCGAGTATATGTGTTTTCCCCTATATTCAGAGCTCCACTCCACAGTTCGATGGGCTGAAATGAATTCATGAGAGTCGTATGGTCTGGTGGTGTCTTTCTTGTTATTTATTTTTTTCATGTTATGTATGTCCATTGTTGTTTTGCTATAGAGCCAACCACCGTCTATATAAAAGTAAACAATATCATATTAATAAAATTATTAGTATTTATTTTTCAATGCATATTTGCTTTTGTTTTTGCTGTTTTTTTTTTTTCTTTCTTTTTTTCTCAAATGTAGTCAATACATTGTTTCCCTATAAGGCATTTTGACCCCCAGTTGAGCTTGCTATCCCCTAGTGATTTTATGATCTCCGGTTGGAAAATGAAAGGAAAATTGATAGAGACGATTGTGACTTTCAGTCGTTAATTGAATTTGAGAATTTACCAGAGCTTGTGAACTTTTCTGCGAGTGTCTCATTTCTTCCCTATTGTACCACGTTCTACATCAGAAATCAAGCATTTCGAAGCTGTTAGCTAAATTGGAGTAGTCTCTTCCCAAATTCACACACATATCATGTCAAAGTTATCAAAAATCGGAAGATCCATATGCCAATTTGTTTTTCAAGAAAACTTCCACACATATGAAGCATAGTATCCTCTTCTTTGATCCAATCTTTGTTTCAATTTTCACACATACAATTAGCATAATGCACAACAGTTGCAACATGAGCAAGCCAATTCGCCAATTCAAGTTGAAAACAAACTACATATCCAACGACCCTAAACCAAGCGAACATAATGGACTCTACATATCTCCATCACCAAATCACAACAACTTACCCAACAAAAAGGAAACCGAACACCAAAAAACACCGCAATTGTCACCCAACCACAAGAAACTGAACGACGAGCAATTCCCCAAGACTCCAAAAGACCATATAACAGGAAAAAAAAAAAAAAAA